GTCAAGTCGCATTAAAGCATGTATTGACGCAGAAGGAGGCCATACCAAATATTAATTAATTAATAAAATATATGTAAATTTGGTCGGTCTTTCAGAAAATTAAATTTTTTTTTGATTTTTTATTATAAAATTGCGCACAAATTATTACATTACTTTCGCCAGGGTCTGTATACAGGATGAATGTTTTATTACCATATATTTCATAATTGAGATCATCTGGAACTGGCTCTAATGAATGTAAATTTATTTATTTATTATATATTTTTATAAAAAAAAAAATATGGACATATGCTAAATAAACATCATGCTTACCAATTTCGGTTACTTTACTCCTTTTTTTTTGTTTGAATAAATATATTTTTAATCTTTTTTATTACACTTTTACCCTTATCGTTACTTTCAGACATTATGATATGTTGATTCTTTTTTTTTTTTTTGTGGTCGATTATTTGTACAAAAAAGGTAATGCATTTGAAATTTAAAACTTAAACTTTATTCGTGTAGATTAATCCAATTTAGCAATCAATAGAAAATAAAGGTTTTTTAAAGTTTTGAGGAGTAAAAAATTTGCTTTAAATTTTCAAAAATAGAATTTACGTTATAACGTTTAATTTGAATTATAAAAAGATTAACGTTGACTCAAAGATTATGTAATAGAAAGAGTACATAATTCCAAAATTTTGAAAAAAAAAATTTGGAGAAATATTCAGACAACAAAGTTCTCATGAACCGAACTTATTATTATTCTTTCCAATCTTTCCAAGGTATTTTGGAACTATGAACACAGAAGAATGCTGGTAAGTTCGTGTATTACTTTGCAGAAAATAAGTAATTTTGTGATAATTAAATATTCTAAATAAGAATATTTAACTAGAATTTATAGAACTTGTTATTGGTACAGATAATACATATATACTTTTAGCATTTTTATTGGAAAAATTAACATAACTTTGCTTTATAAAAATTGCTATTTTGTATTCAGATCATTGAACTATGTAAAATCTAAATATTGTACGTCCTAGTTGACAAATTGTCTTACGTTCTGTCTCATATATAAAGGGCAAACAGTGACATAAATGACTTACCTGGCCAAAATTAATATTTAATGTTTCGATATTTCACGTGATATAAATTTGTAATTCTGGTCGGTATATAAAATTTGGCCTGTATTACATTTAAATGACCAAAATGACAAATGACCAGGTCATTCAGAGGTCATTTCAAAATGTTCTTTTCATTTTCCATCACTGCCTTAAAATGATGAATCAAAAATATCTTTTGTTTTACTGTTTGGATATTCTCGTATGTGTCATTGCTAACTTTCATTTTTTCTAAAGATTTAATTCGCATAAAATTGGCAGATCAAGATTCCGGTATGTAGTTTTGCCATTTATTAGTACTTGTCAATCCTTTTGCGTCTTAAAATTTCAAGGTTGATTTTCTATAAAGACTGATCAAACAGAATGAAACCGAAAGATCGAAGTACCAGAAGGAGACGCATTAGCAGTAATTTTCCTTGCTTAAACCAACGACGCAAGGTGTCTGACGAGATGCCAAGTTTCTTTATTAGCCGTAAGCGTAGGACAGTCATCGACGCTTTTAACGGTGGCCCATTTACTAAAATCGACAACCGAGATTATAATGTTGAGAGGCTTAACAAAAACATAAAGAAACCTTATGTAATAATTCGGAATTCGAAGAAAATCTGAAAACATTGAATTATGTTAGGAAAACAACATGAGAATTTCGGGCATTAATCCCTCGCCCTGGATAGAATTATTCGCTATATAATTCTATGAAATATTACGTAACATAAAGCTCATACAAAAATTCATAATAATACGTATGTATAAAGATATTAAATTTTTTGAATGTTTAAATGATAATTAATAATCTTTTAAACCATAATAAATGTGTAAATGTGTCCTACCAACACCAACAAAGTTGTGTAATGAGTGAATTACCAGAAGGAAACTCACGAGTTTCGATAAATAATTTGTTGAAAGGCGAGCATTTTATAGTCACAAAAATCTTATGTGGACTCCAGGACTCCAAGAATTCAAAAAAAAAAAAAATTTCGCAATAGAAAAATATGGCTTGCCAAAAAAGGATATCAGTAATTGAAAAGAACAGATTTGTGTCACACTATATATATATGGAAATGTCACAATGTTTAGAATGTTTGGGTACGATAGTTTAATTTTAGGTGCGTTTGGTACAATTGACCCCTAGAAACTATCAGACTCCGTATTTCTTTTCTAAACTAAGGCTATGAAAAACAAATAAAAAAAAAAAACTTATATGTACTATATTAAAATAAATAGACTTCAGATTTACGTGATACAAATAGAAGGTAGTTTTCATGTCACGTGCAATTTATTTAACAATTACAATGGCTACAATGGTTATTTGTAATTTCTGCTTTTGTTAATTCATGAAACATATATAAATAAAAAGTTTTTATAAAAATGGAAATTATAATTATAGTTGTGATATTTTTAATGTTAAACAAGCGCCATTAGAACTGAATCGTCGATCATAAATGCATAATTAGGCAGGCACCACGAAAATTTATTGTGTGCACATTGCAAATGTTAATTCAGCAAATCACGAAATCTGCGTTTGTGGGTGTCCTTTGTCATATCTCACATAAATGTAAGGTAACAAACAACAAAATAAGTCTTCTTATATCAAATTCTATGTATAAAAGCTCAGAAGCTGAATAATTTGTTTTGAAAATAAAATCTTCTCCCTTTATTAATCATACTCATTATGATCTTGTCTTGTAATAAAAATAAAAAATGGAAATGAGACCAAAGAGAATAACTCTTAGGTTGAAAAGAAAGTTGATATAATGAATTGATTTACGTTTGAATACTAGGTTAGATAGATTAAATCGTATTCTGTGGCTCTGTGGCTGAGAAATTGGCTAAATCTTAATAATAAATAATTTCTGCATGGGATCTGCAATGTAAGAGTCGGATTGAACTTTGTTATTAATAAAAATTTTGATTTTCTTCATACAGTATATTAAAAATAGTTTTTTTTTTTTTTTTTTTTTTTTTTTTTTAATAATATATAAATGTTAAAGTTTTTGAAAAAAAATTTTTTTTTTTTTTAAATTTTTTTCCTGCGTAGGGAGATATTAAATCTTTTTTTTTTTTAATTAAAAAAAAATATTATATTTTATATTTTTTTTTTTTAATGAATAAAATAAATTTTTAATAATGCTTTCTACTGCTGGTTGGAAAATTGTGACCTTGCTTTATTTTGTGCGTATATCATCATGTGATTCGCATATGGCCTATAGAGTTGTAGATGAAAACCATTACAAAAACAAGAGTAAGTGAATTCAAGGAATTTTATGAAATGAATTTAATATATTTTATATTATTCTTAAAAAAAATCACAATCTTTTGACAGTTGATGTGTTGAATCAATATATCTTCGCGTTTACATTAAGTTTTGGAATAATGGTCGGTTTAAGTATAATATACTTTAGAATGAAGAAGAAATATTCAAAGGTAAACCTTTTTTTTTATTTAATAAACAAAAAAAAAAAATTACTCATTCTTTAATAAAATCTTAGGCTCGAAATTTTATTGTTTTTAGTGTTGTTTTAATAATCCTAGATTGGATTTTAGATATTATATTTATGATATTATATGCAAGTGAAATTTCATGGTTATTTACAACATGGTAGGCAAATTTTTCTTAACGGTTTCCTTTTTATTTTTTTTTGTAAACAAATTCAAATCTAACCTACTTCTTCGACCGTACGTAGGGTGTTGATCGTTGCATTAGCGCCACTATTAAATTTCACGTATACTCTAACGTCAATTCATTATGAACGTGTTCATAATGTTTCATTCAAATGTTGGTTAAAGGATAATCGATTATCGACAATTTTGATTTCATCGTTGTCTTTGATACATATTGAATTATTTAAATTGATTAATAGTAGATTATTTTACAAAGAATTTTTTGGTGCGAAATTATTATGGGTTCAAAAAAGTACTATTATGAGTTTATTTGGAATATTTAATATGATCATTCAAGATTTGGGTCAATTTATTATTCTGGTACGACTTTGAAAATATATAATTCTTTCGTAAAAGTGATTAATTGTAATGATTTATTGTATTTATATATATATATTATTATTATTATTTTTTATTGTAGGTATATTACACACAACATACATTCTCATTAAAACTTCTCCCACTCTTGGCTCTTTCGACGAGTTTTTTGATGATAATTCATGATTTAGTAACCATCTTATTTAAATCTTACTTGACACCACATCAAACTTCATTAAAAAATGAAACAGGATTAAGACTGTCCAGGAACAATAATAATGAAAAACATAATTATAGTCCACCACAAACTCCTGCCTTGTTCCTTTCAAATGGTGGAAGGAGGGATAGCGTTAGTTTGATAAGTAGGGCGCCCCTTTCCCCATTTTTGTATCAGCCTCCTTTTCCTTATAGTGCTGAAGATCTTGAAGGGGATGAAGAAGAGGGTATGTCGCAAGAAAATGTGAATTTTAATAAAAGTGATGTGGTTAATGATGTTAATTCGATCGTCACCAAACCCCAGTCTAGTTATAACCCTCATTTGAATCTATAGATATTTTTTAAGATGTTTGTTTGCACTTGTAATGTACTGTATTCCTAAAAATTAGATTACGTTATGATTAATAAAGTAATAATTTAGAATTTTATGTGGCGTGTTGCCACAGCATTTCATTTTAAATATATTTATTTTAGGTTAATCAAAATTCTTTATTCATTTTTTATTTCTTTCCAAAAATTTAAGTAAATAGTTAAAATAAATAACTAATTTAACATGTAAAAATTCTGATACATCTCGTCATATCGATAAGCCTTTACTACGCCAACTTCTCTAAAGTGATCGAGTACTTTTGAATAATTCATATCGAAATAATATTTTTCATAATGATTTTCCACAAAGAAATACAAAGTGATCCGAACTCGATCCTTCCAATTCTCCAAAAACGATTTCAAATCGGTTTTACAATATCTCCATGAAATTCTAATCTCTCGCAAAGTTTTCGGAGATGATTTCAATAATATTTCTAATATTAACTTGATGTGATCGTCATCAAAATTATAAGTTTCGATAACTATCCTTTGGATTTGTTGACACTTGATTAATAAATTTTCGAATTCCTTGAAATCACCCTTATTGATTCCCAAGGATAAAATTTGAATCTTTGGACAACATTCGTAGATCGCACGAATGTAACTTGCCGAATATCGCTCATTATAATCTGAGTACCCAAGCAGAACCTCTGAAAGGTTCCCCTCGGTTTGTTCGATTACTTTTATTGCCACATCAAGATTAATAATCCCTATCTTGAAAACTTCAAGTTTGGAGAAGGTTGTCAATTTTAACAGTTCTTCAAATTTATGATTATTGTACATTTGTTCCGAACGAGAATCTCCATAATCAATGTTAAAGTTAATTAAATCCAATCTCTGTAGATTACTACTCAATTCAGTAAGAATATTCAAGGGTAAAAAGAATTCTAAATTATAAACAAATTTAAAATGAACGAGTGAATCCACTTGTGTGATCAAAGCACTCCCTATTGCCTCGAGTGGCGGCACAATCAACATTTCGGCATCATAATCAGTCAAACATGCAAGATATTTTAGATTCTTTTGAACTTCAATCAATCTAGCCAACCCGGGATTATCAGAATTACAGTTAAAAATGTGTAAACGTTGCAAAAGGCTACAAGCATGTGCTAGTTCGTGGAAAAAGGTATGATCAATGTTTGAGTCACAACATAAGACGGTAAGGTTTCCAAGTGAAACGTTGGTACGTGTGAGATAATAATAATACATTGGAGTTTCCGAATGCTCCATCACATTTCCAGTATCCAAATTTTTAACTATCAGACAACTTCCCATCAGAAGTTTATATATTTCTTTTTCAATAATGTGAAAATGATTCGTTAATTTAACCCTAATTTCTACATCAAGATCGTCATTCCTAGATCGTTTATTCGTGCAATATCGAATCCAATTAAATTCTGTATCATTCCAATCGAATGACAAGGAATGAAAATGATTCATAAATCCTTCTTCAATACAATGTCGAATCCTATGAAAATCGATATGATTGCAATATCTGATGTAATCAAATAATGGATTTTCATGTAGTATTGGAAATAAATCGATCCTTTTACTTTTTAGAAAATTTTGAGATTCCCTTGATAAACATGAAATAATGATGTCAAATAATCTCTTGTTATTAATTACAAATTTCCAGGGATTTTGCCATAAAATAGACACGGCTGTTTCACACCAAAGTCTATTCACAAGTAGGCACGAATGAAGAGATTTCTTGGTTTTTATTAATGAGCTATATTTGATGTCATCATCTAATTCTTCAAGGATAATGTAAAGGACGTCTTTATAAAGTTTAGACATGTTCAATTAAGGGAAGAAAGATTTGAAAGTGAACTAAAACCAATCTTTTCCAGCTTATAAGTTGAATTATGATAGCATAGCTGACCGTGATCATTTGCTGAAAACATATTTGCTTTAAAACTCATATCAAATCGAAATAATGATGTATGTGGCGTAGCAATAAATATTTATTCATTGAAAATAAAAAAGACAAAATATAAGAGAATGAGGTGTTCCCTTTTATTTGAAATTGCAGTAATTTTACGAAATAAAAAAAAAAAATTTGGACTATCGTAATTAATTCTTAGTACTTTGATTGCAATTCATAAAAGTGATCGTCTTGAACTTCATGAAAATTTATTAATGTCAAAAAATATGGCATGGTCAACCTAAATTTCAGTACAGGGTTCGATATTTAAACGTAACATTAATACTTAATGAATTTCGAAGTATAATTTTATTGGCTTAGATATAAGATTAACAAATCTGTAAAAATTTTTGTGCACCTTTTTTCCATCATCCACCATTATTTTTGATCTAGTTAAATACTGAACCTTTAAATTTGATTTTAACTATTTATTTTCCAATCGTTCTATCCTCTCATAGTTTTGGTATTTAGGTTTTTTTTGAAAACAAAGCAAATTTATCTTCCAGTTTTAGTAATATTAAAAGTGAAACAGACATTCAATTTAGTAAAGTGTTTATTTACAAGATTATCAGATATAGTGATTTAATGAACAGTTAGGAACAGTTGGTAGTTATTGAATCTATAATTAACAGTTAAAAACGGAAAAAAATAAAGGATACTATATTGAAAAATTATAACGATAAATGATGCTACAATAAAGTCGAATAAGATATTTAATATAATTATGTAACGTCTTTTCTAAAACTGCGCCAATTAATGAGAAAATTACTCGCGGAATTATACCAGCAAATTTCATTTATTGAATACTTGAAACATATATTGCCTTGTTATTAATTATTCAGGAGGAACCAAGGAGAAGTTAGGAAGATATAGGCCTTAGGACGAAACAGTTTAGGAATCCTTTAGGAATTCTTCAGGGGTCTCTTGGACCGGTCCGCCTAAGACCGACTTGAATTAATGGATCAGTCTTGATTAATTTTCGGAATATCAAATTTTGAAAATTATAATAACCTATTGTTATGAATATTTTAATCATTCTTAAATGGCAGGTTTTGGACACTTTTCAATATGTCCAAAACTTTGTCCAAAATATTTAAAACCAAAATGTGTCCGATTTGCTCCAAAAAATATTTAAAAATAGTGATGATAACCATACGATATCACACAGTCCTCAAAACATGGACCGAGGACCCCAAGAACCAGGTCCCATTACATAAATGATGCAAATTGTGTGACGAAATATATTATTTATTTACAATTATGGTACATTCGTCCTTTATAAAGTTTACGTACGGTTTCAATTGCAATTGGATGCGCATTACCTTTTTTTATACCACAAAAACAAATATAAACAATAACCTTAAAAAGAAACGACTAATTTTGGCTCTTTTTTTTTAAAATTTTTAATAATGTCTGACAGTAACAATAAAAAAGATTCAAAATATATTTAAAACAAAAAAAAAGGAGTAAAGAAGTAACTGAAATTGGTAAGCATGAATTTTATTTAGCATGAGATGTAATAGTTTGTTTAAATTTTTTTTTTTTTAAAAATAAATAAATAAATTTACATTCATTAGAGCCAGTTCCAGATGACCTCAATACTCCTACGTTTGAAATATATGGTAATAAACTTTCGTACATCTATTAAACAAAATTGTAATTATTATTCTTTTAATAATTAATTTTTTCAATAAAAAAAAAAATTCAATGGTCGGTGATACTAAAAATGTAGGTCATGTAACTTTACCATATCTAATCTTTTTTATTTATTAAAAAATATCTAATAATAAATAATAATTTCAGGGAGTAAGTTATTTTATTCTTTATATAGTAAAATAACCTTAACTAATTTATTTTACAATTTTAGTCGGTAAGTTATTTTTTATTAATAATCTATACTTCATATATTATTTAAACTCAATTAAACATTTATTTAAAATATTATAGAACGTAAGCCATGTTTATTAATTAAATTAACTATATGCTTTACTATAATTAAAAATCAACTAATTCTCATAATGATATTAATATCTGGCAATATTGCAGAAAGTAAGTTACATTATTTAATCAATTATAACTGTAAATCTTAACACTTAAATATTTTTTTTAAAAAATATTTAATTTTTAGATTAGTAAGTTATTTTTATTGATTATCAGTATTTAATTATACTTTTTACTATAATTTAAAGTCAACTAACTTTTTTATAAAAAATAAATTATTATAGAGAGTAAGTTATTTTTATTGATTATTAGTATTTAATTATACTTTCTATTGTGATTTAAAGTCAACTAAATTCTTTATACAAAAAAAAATATTAGAAAAGTAACTCCTGGAAGTGCGTAGCATATTATGAGGTAGATGGTGATTGCAACAGAATAAAAATCCTAGTAATGTTACTAGAGAATTTCTTGATATTAATATCCTGAAAGTTATAGACTAATCTTCCAATAGTCTAGATTTAAATCCAATTAAAAACCTTTAAGCAAATTATTAAAAGGAAGGTGGAGTTGCATAGGCTAAAAAATCTTAGTGAATTAGAGCTTTTTTAAAGGAAGAGTAGGAAAATATTTCAAATAGTACTCTAATTAATCTTGTAAACTCTATGCTACAGCATTGTAGGAATATTATTGAAAAAATGGTAAATGAATATCATATTGAATTTTTTTTAATAAAATCTATTACTTTTTAGCTTTAAAATAATATATTATACGCTTTGATTAATAAAGTGGTTGTATAACTATTGTGATATTAAAATTGTTATTTTTTTGCTATATTACTATATATTACTAGCTTTAAAATAAGATTGATCTCTTAAAACTTCAGGTACTATAAATGGTAAAACACCATAAATTTCATTTTTTTAGATGTTTGAAAATAATTTATAGGTTTACAAAATCCTAAATTATTAATAGACAATATATATATTTCAAAATTTAAATATTACCATAATGAAAATCACAATAAATAAGATCTTTTTGATGTATTTCATTAAGTCTACTAATAATATTGTATAATATATATAATTTTATTATTCATTTTT